AGTGCTAACCCTCTTGTTAGCCCTTGGTGTCAGTGTGCTGCATGTATTCTAACAATAGTGTTCCATCTTTTTATACTTACGGAAGAAATATGTATTAAACTGATAGATAAAAACATTGGACACCAACCTCAGCGAGCTTCAGATAAAGAATTTTCAGAATGGCATCACCCCCTAATACTGATGCTGCATCGATTAGCACATCCGCAACAGCTACCAAGACCAAGGTTATATATAAGTACTCAGTACAAGATAAAAAAAAAGGTAGCATGTAATGGAAAACCCAAATAACCATCCACATATTAAGCAGGAAGGAGGGGGATGGTGGAAAGCCAAATGAAAAAGGAGAATAGTCAGTCCACATGTTCAAAAAAAGAAAATTCAGCAGTTCATTGAATGAAAAGTGCACATGACAACATTTAGACTCATGCTAATGTAAGTTAGCTGTACACATACCATTCACTTAGCAACTAATCAGTGCCCAGATACTTCTGACAAAGACCAATTACAGATAGTGAAGAACAAAAACAAGCTTTTCCTCCAATTGACAAACAAAAAAAGAACACTGCCAGTTCTCTGTTGACTATGTTCAATCATCGGTGAGCAGTCAGTCACTACCTTATGCCACAACCTGGTCCAGCACACTTGAGAAATTTCACCGCCAGCATCACCATGTAAAGCATGACAGTTTTCCCACTTGAAAGGCGCCTAATTGGATCCTACGTTGAAACCCTAACAGTTGCCAAACCGGAAAAGAGCTATACTCAAATGTTTTCACCGAACATTGGATAGTACATCACATGTGAGTACCACACTTGAATCAGGCTGGTGCTCGGAGTATAAGAGTAGTCCAGCAGAAAACACAATAGGGGAAAGCTGTCAGAAGTTATCCTCCAATGCCACTGTCACTCTGTCAGAAGTAGTCCAGTCAGATAGTACTTCTCTTTTTCTTCTTTTTATAATTTCAAAATACAATGCTACAACAAAACTTAAGATGATGTCAATTGATCATATTTTGAACTCACTTGGAATCCAACTAAGTTAATTTAATGATTTAATCACTGATTTAAAACAGGTGGACTGGAAGTTTTTGTCCTCAGCTACCTTATTTTGGTTTCAAATTTACTCAATAAACTAAACTAAAGCATAAGGCACCAGAACAAAGTGCCTCACAAAGGACAGATTATGATGCCAGATGTATGCAGCCTTACTCAGTATTTGAAGAGGTTGTTTCTTATATTACTGTTAGCTGAGGATGATCCGAAGCAGTGACAGCTCCTTTTGGAAAAGTTGAAGCAAGGCAATCTCATCAAGAATCAGTTAAGAGTTACACAGCTGTATTATTGTATAGCTTCACTCTATAGTGCTCAATCTCAATAAAAAAATACTCATTATGAAATTTCCTACTTTCCACCACTAAACTGCCAGAGTTATCCTCTAATGCCTATGTAGGAGCTTACTAGTCAGTACAGTGACTCTTCACACTACAGTTGTGACATCAGACAAAAGGACAAATTCATTCAGTATTCTGGTTCACATCTAAATTGCTGATGCTACCTTCCCAGCCTTTGTGCACCTCAACATTCAGTAGAACAAAGGCAGCAATCTTCACAACAAACACACAAGTGCAGCATGCCTTGTAACAATCATGAATTAAGAGAGCATACAACATAACAAAAATTACCATATCTAGTCTGTTTAAACTCCTTCAGGTCTTCGATTGACAGGTTCTGATAATCTTGTGGATACTGAACGCGGAAGCTAACCTGTAAAACAGTAAGCAATAACCTTATCTCATTCATAACCGTACCAAGCAAAAAGTGAGCTGTCTTTCTATTAAAAGTGTTCTTGGAGTGGAGACAATCAATTGAGTGAGATAATTGAATTGGTAGAGGAAATCGATGGCTCTGTTACAAGTATATTTCGAAATGGAGACAGTCGATTACTCGAGTTTCGACTGGAGAAAACTTAATCTTACTATGTATTGTTAGAAAGAATATAAAGTTCCTTGGAAAGAAAGCTAACATTTGCGCACAACAGTTACTGTCTTACATTGTAACTAATTGCAACTCACATGGTTGGGATAAACCTTTCATGGCACTGAATCATGCACCTCTAGCAAAGTTGTTTGCTAATATGATAAATATACGTCCTTAGTATCTAAAAGTATTACTCACCAGGGATACAAGTGACTCATAAGCTGACTGAAAAATCTGCAGCCTCCTATTTCTCTCAGCTTCAGCGGATGCTTCATTTCCGTAAGAAATATAGGAATCCCTAACAATAAGAGTGGCATGGTAAACAACTTGTATTCAATCCCGACAAAAGAAGTTCCAAGTTATTCAAGTCTTGGACCAAAGTGTTGCAAAATAGATATCCTTGTCAGACATACCTCCTAGTCAAGAACACTTGAAGATTATGCCAAAAATTAAATGTCATTGAGGCAATGTCATATTCTGGATGTGAAGCAACTTCCAGCAACGCATGGACTATCACCATTGGTTCATCAGAACCTGTAAGGAATATACAAACTACATTGAAAACTGGTTTCTCATCTTCACTAGTATGTCCTATGTAGTTCAGACTTTTCCTTCTTTATAAGGTAAGATTAAAAACACTCTATGGACCATCATTCTTCCATTTCTCAAAAGTAAGCCCAGAACAAGTAAGTTAAGATGATGAATAGGAAATATATACCAGTAGCAATAAGCTCGACATATGAATCACCCAAGTCGGCAAATAATCGAGCAATTGCCTTCACATCTTCTTCGTCCTATGAGAAAATTTGCAAACAACATATAAGATCTGCATGTTTGTTGAAGCTGTTTTATTGTTCAGACTTCTTGTAACTAGAATGTGCAAGTGATAGGAAAAAGAGCAGTCTAAATGATAATATCTACAGAGAAGCACAAGATTCAGAAAAGCAAAGCCATAAAAATTAAAAGAATCCTGGCCTCTAAAGCACAAGAATGCCTCAGGACAAACTGTTACGTCAGTTCAGTACTTCTCCATATGACAGAATTTAGCAAATTGCACCCAGTAAATCGAAGTCCTCAACTATAAGTTGAAAGGTGTCATTAAGTTCCATAGTGCAAACATTTGGGAATAAAAGCACTGCAAGCAATGAGCAGTTCAAGTGAACAGAACAGCATTCCAATAGAGGAACACAGAACTAACTTATTCCACAATTAAACAAGTAACTCCTCACAAACAGCAGTTTCATTCATGGTCCAAACTAAACCCTAATAGAAACCGGGCGTACACATAACATAAAGTAGAATACTAATTGAACTATTGAGAGATGCCAGCTACCAGAATAGCATAATACACATGAACGTTTAGGTCCTGTTCACGTAATATGATAAATAGACAAGGTTATGCAATGACCAACGTGCAAGGACCAGAAGGCAATCGTTAGTCCATATTGAAAAATGGCTCATAGCTTTCTAGTGGAGAGAAAAAGTTCTCCAGGTCAGTAACCAGGGTTAAGCCTTTTGCATTAGTGTACCAGACTGTACAACCTACTCCTAATTTCACCAAAACCAAGATTTTAAGATAATTGTTATTAAAATGGGTGAGACATTCATAAAAACCTATTATCCGAGGACCCCCTGTCATCTCAGACGTACAAGGTTAAATGAGATTTTTATGTAATAAATACTGGGTGATAATACATCCGCATTGTCTTAAGATGTTGTACTTCTTTCTGAATCGCATATTAGCGTATAGGACTAACTCAGATCACGAAGAGTTGAATACAGATAGACTTCAAAATGCAATACCTTCGAAGAATCTCTAAGTTGTTCCTTTAAACTCATCACTTGGGGGACAATCACTTGAATTAAAGGCATCTGTACAGGAATACCACCAGAATGTTTTGCAGTTGTGTAGTGTATCAATTCCGAAACCACTGCAGAAAAACTTCAGATTTCAGAATTTAAGAAGCAACATATTTAACATGTTCCAATAAGGCAAAAACAATCATCGTTTACACATTTTTCCTTAACAATAACAAAACACCGCAACTCCTTTTTCCACTTAAATTTCCAGCTCCCTCTGAGTAGTTACAGCTCAAATAAACAATCGGTAACAGAAAACAAATGTACATTTAATACCAATAGGTCAAACAAACCACCAGATAATCTTCGAGAGTTAACAGCAATACCATTTACGGCAGCCTCGGATAGAAACTCAGAATTCAAGTTTGAAAGAGCAGTATGGACCAGTGGATGCATTGCAAGCACGGAACCTGGGACCCTGAAATCAAGAGAAGCTGCATGATAAAAAAAAATTCAAATTTTAACAGAGACCAACTAGAAAGGGAATTCTATCGTGGATCCCTTAGATTCTAAATGTACATCCCTATAATAGTGATAGATCCAATAGCATGATACCTTGTCATCCATATTACCAACATTATTCAATTCTACAAACATAGGAAACATCAAGCCTCACAAGTAGGACGAAATGCATACCCATGCCTTAGGCGCAACCAAGAAGCAAATGCCTCAAGAACCTGGAGGAATACACATCATTAGAAATTCATCCTGTGTACGCACTGATATCAACAGTTTAAGTGTTTGACATGGGTTGAAACTCAATCATTGTGGACCTGACACGAGCAAGAACACCTGAACTTTTCATTTCGTTTTTTATTTTACATATTTTAAGCATGGCTTTACATATGGATAGAGATAATCAGAACACCAAAAACTAGAATGACAACAATGGCTCAAGAGATTGCAAGCCAGCATAGATGTCTCATAGATAATTAAAGATTAAGACAACAGAAACCACAATACCCAGGATCTATTTACAACGCCCATGGTAGAAGGACAATAGTACTTTCAGATCCGGGAAACAGAAAAACTTGAATAGCGAAAGCCAAGTAATGTAACTAGTTAATATTTTCTTACCGATAGAACGATCTAGTCTAATCTTCCATAATTGCATAAAGTTACTTCAATCAAAGACCATTGATGCAGGAAACTGACGCATTAGAATATCTTACTAGCATTTTATAATGTGTTGAAGTGCATGGACCACCATTGCACCAGTATCCCACCACAAATTGAAAGAAAGCAATTAAAATTGAAGGTTGTTACAGCCTGGAAATATTGCATATTATTCAAACAGCCTCTCCCAGAGATACAGTGAGAGTGAAATTGTTTTAATTTACCAAGAGGGCACCTCAGAGAGCAAAACTTTCTCAAGAGTAGTAAGCTATGTAAGTGATACTTTAGAGAAGCAAAAGAATCAGGAGAGTTCTTACCTGCTCCTTGAGTTCATTTATTTTCAAACAAGCAGTCAAGATGCTAAGAGCCACTTCCATCTGAGATGTGAGCTCTTTTTCAAACTGACGTCGTCTTTCTGGACGAGCTGCAATTTTGTGATTGAAGGTTTCCTGAGATGTGCAGAGAAAAACACTTAAGAACATACTCTGTGACGCAGATCTACCAGTCATGAATCCCAAGAGCTTGACCTAGTATAAACAGAGATGAAAAACATCCAGACTATCATAGGCCCCCTTGGAGCAAACCATACTCAACGGAGAATGCTAATCATGACATGATTTGTCAGTGTTTCATTAACAAGATATATAAAACTTCCATCATGTAACCCACACCAGAAGTTATTAAGCAACAATCTTCAATCACAAGCCACTAAACATATAAGTTTTGTTCCACACACCTTTCCTCTTCCTGCTACTTTGAGCTAAAGTGCCCCATCAAACTTACTATAATTGCTTGAACTTAAAGTTTGATTCCCTTCACATTAAATTTGCCATCACCAAACTAAGATATTAAATTTGTACAACCCATCAGTCAAGGAAGAAAGCTGAGAGCAAAAAAATAAGACATAAAACACATGTATAATCAAAATATTTTGTTATTACATTGAACAGAAAAAAACAAAATGGATCTCCATGATGACATTGACAGCTTAATTGATACTGATTGCATTTTCAACTTGTGCAAGCAGAATTTAAGGAGTACACAAAAATGTTTCTTCTTCACTCATCCCCGCCCCCTCCCCTCTTCTCTTAACAAAAATACAGTTTTGATCCAAGAGATACTTGTAGAGTGACAGGCTTGTATCTCCTCTTCTATACTCACCCTAGAGCGGGATATATATCTATAGATGCCAACAAAAAATGTGTCTTTTTCAAATTAAACCGTCCATAAAGAGCTTAAACCACTCACTACCCAATTCCAATTAACATAACTTAGAATCTGAGCAACTGTAGCATTCCCGAAATGTGACTAATGATCAGAAAATGAAGACAATTAAAATTCACATGTACTTGTTTACCTCAGGTAAAACTGTTAGCAACTCCAGGAATCCTGGTATATACTCTGGATGAGAATTCATCTCATCCCTGAGCCAATTCACAATACCACCATCTCCCCAATCCTCGGCGGGAACTTGTACAGCCAAGGCAGCAACAGCAATACTGATCTATAAGCAGACAGCCTATAGTTACTTTACCTTATTTTGAAGAACTAATAACCCAGAAGTGAATGCTTTAACTCTACCTGAGTCCTGACTTTTGGCGGACCTCTATGAAATTTTTTCAGCAATGTCTGCAATTAAAATACATCGGAAATATGAAAAATGCTTAGATATTTGTCTCTTTGATGCACAGGGCATTAAGCTAACAAGTACAATATCCTAATTCATTAACTATAAAAGTGGCATGAAATGACATGGTGAAAATAGGGCATCCATAATATATGTCAACCTCCTATATCGGTTGTCTTGCATATCGATAAGCATCAAATAGATGTCATACATAAAAGGATACGCAAAAAAAAAAAAAAAAAAAACATTGGTGGAAACAGTTCAAGCCAAGTTCTTGATGAATGACAGTTCACCAAAATCATAATCACCCTTCAACAGCAGGGAATATGGTTATCAAGGATATGCCGACAACGCAAGAAAATAAAACTATAGAATAGATAAATATTTTCCTCCTAAATAAGCTGCCAAGCATATATAATAAGCCAATGGTGCCTTTCATCTGAAGCAATGATAGCAGGATCCATGCCTAGCATCAGACATTATTTAAGATGTTGTGCAATGAGCAGTAAACAATCATTGGCTTCCATTGTGCTCAGAAAAGTATAGATAAATGTACATAAACCATGTAGCATAAGAAAATTAACATATATGCGGTACTTTTGAAACTCACGGCTGATTGCTTTCCACGAGTACAGTTTCGATAGTTAAGAAGAATGTACTCTAGTTTGAATGAAATCTAACCATTGAGATGAAACCCACACTTCTCTGGTAGAAATCCAATATCTCATCTCATTATTCATTCATCTACTGTTTAGGGTAAACGATAAATAAGAAAGTGAGACTGGCATGAAGAAATTGAATAAAATGTCACTGATTACTCGAAAAATAAAAATAATGTCACTCACATTTAATGAAGTTTGCAATGGTCGAAAGGCTTCAGAAGGTAGCTCTTCGTAATCTCGTTGTACCTGAACACAAGTGTAGAGCAGCCAGTTTCATCCTCCATTCTTGAAGGAAAGGAGAAAGCAGTCAACACGCACTAAGTTGATAAAGATGACTGCAGGGCTAACAGCTAATTGATAATCCCAGTTACCTTGCTCCTTAGGGTTTGAGAACAAAATATTAGTGTTTCCAAATTGCTCGTGGCATCGTGAAGCAGATTGTCAGCAACCTGATAGAAGCAGTTCAAGTTAGAATGCCACTGATACAGCACATTAGGCAATGTTTCAGAGAAACCCGGTAATAAAGAGAACTGCAAAACGTCAGAGGGTTAGTAAAAAGGAAAGCAGCTACCAAGAAAGCTAACAGCAGAATTCAAAAGTTTACACTCTAATAATAATAAAAAACACAGTGATTCACGCCATATTTGCGTGCCCTCTGCCAATGGCAAGCATTTTCAATTTCAGAATTTAAGTGAAAGTAAACTAGACTGCCTAATAAATGAATGACACTCTAAATTCTGCCCTCAGTCAAAAGCAATCGATTATTAACTCGACTACATCGGTTTAGTCCAAGAACACTAATGATATCGAATTCTGAGCAGAAACAAAACTACCTACGTAAATACCTAGTTCCAACAATTCCGGTCCATCCAACTTTTTCTCTCAATTCCTACCAGCAATAGCCACCTCCTCTACTACCATTTCTTCTATCCAGCAGCTAGCTAATTGGCCATTAACCTATCAGCACCAAAATCAACAGCTAGCTCGGATGGAAATAGAGATTATTATGGACTTTCAAGGCTACAGCTTTCCGAATACAGAACAAAGCAGCTCCGCTACTTTACCAATTCAGAAAAAGAACGTAGAGGAGAGACAGTAGGTGAACCTGCCAGGCATCGATGGTGCGCTGAAAGCTCTGGAGCCAGCGATCGGCTTCCATGCGAACGGCATCGTCAGGGTGATGATACAGTGCATTTAGGGCTTCTTTGACGGAATTCTGGAGCTCCATTTGCTAAGAAGGAAAAAAAACCCCGCTTCCTCCCTCCGAATTCTTCCCCCCTATCAGGAAGCTATAGCAGCTCCCCCACCAAACCGATGAGGAATCGAGCGAGGAGAGAGTTCGTGTGGGATTTGATTGCTGTTGATGGTGCCTTAGTTTTTTCAAAGTGAACAAACAAAAAAAATAAACAACACCCAAAAGAGAGAGGGGAAAAAAGATGGATTGTTGTTGTGCGTATTTTGATTTTTTTGTGAGAGGGGTTTTTGGCGCCCGCCCCTCTTCTCTTCTCTTCTCTGTAGTCAATCCAATCCAATTCCTGAAGTGAATTCCAATCCCTGACCTGATCTCCCACTCTCTCTCTGAGCTCAGCGTATGAATATGGGGGCTTGGCTTCCTTTTTATTTTTCATTTTAAATAAAGATCAACTTTCTTCGCCTCTCTCCTCTCCGTTTTAATCTAGCCGAGAGAAATGTTCAGTCTGATGGAGTTCGGACCGTCTGATTGGGATGGCTGCTGGTCCAATCCTTCTTTTTTTGAAAAACTCGGTCAACGATAAGTCAGTTAGAGCAGGGAATAGAAAAATATTATATTAGGCATGCCCGGTTGGTTCAAACTTCAAACAGTTTCAACCCAACCAGTCTTCCTTCGCTTCAGTTTTAAGTTTTAAGTTTTAACTCTTACCTCCCGTCAGATGAGACTTCTTTCTGGCTAAATGTCAAGTTTGGTCACTAGTTTATTAAAATGTGTCATGTCTAGTCACTGAAAAAAATTAATATCAATTTTGGTCACTAAGATTAGTTTAACGGTCCAAGTTTGGTCAGTCTCCGTTAGTCTCCGTCCAACTCCGTTAAGTGTTGATGTGGCAAACGGAATTACCTAGTCAACCGGATTTAACCAAAAAATACTAAACTTTGAACCACCACATCATTATAACCCACCACCTCAGCCTACCCAAATCAATACAAACCCTAACCCGACCCGACCAGATCATCTTGACCCTTCTCCGCCTCTCTCAACCTTCTCCTCTACCTCCTTTGCCTTCTGCTTCTCCCTCTCTTCCTCCATCTTCATGCTCACCAACAGAGATCCACGCCAACAAACACAAACAAAACAAAAACCCATCAGACTGATGCCAAAAAATCAACGAAACCCAGCAAAGCACAACCCAACAAATTTGCCCCCGCTTGCACCCACTCTGGTCTACAAATCGGTCGTTGACCGCTCTCTGCCGCCTTCGAGCCTGTACGAGATTCGAACCCCACCAGTTATGTGAAGCCCAAAAAACCGCTAAAAGTTTTCTCATCTCTCCTCCTAAAGTCCGTGATAGTTGAGAAACCAACGTTGGCCAGATTTGAATTCTCCTGCAATTGAAGATCATTTTGGATAGATGATTTCTTCCGCACAACATTTAGCAAAGGGAACGGAGAAGATTAGCACAGCATTTAGTGGTGGCCAGATTTGGAGTCTCCTGCAATGGGCTTGAGTAACTTGCGAAGGAGGAGGAAGAAGGCGGTGGCGAAGGGAGGAGGAGGAGGAGGAGAGGCATGGTTGGTGGGGTCGCCGGCGAGAATTATGAGGGAAGAGAGGTGTTGCAGAGATCTAAGTCAGGAGGTTGCTTAGAGAGATCTGCAGGGTTAGATGAGAGAGGGAGTAGATTTGGAGATGTGGGGCAACTCGTTAAGGCAGGACCGATTCATGGTTTGGGTTCATTGGCTTGGTTGGGTAAGATGACCTAGTGGGTCGTGATGATGTGGCGAGTCGAGTTTAGTATTTTTTTTTTTAGGTCAAATCTGGTTGACTAGATAATTCTATTTGTCACGTCAGCACTTAACGGACTCCATTAACGGAGTTGGACGGAGACTAACTTAGAATGACCAAATTTGGAACATTAAACTGATCTTAGTGACCAAAATTGATATTAATTTTTTCTAGTGACTAAACATGACACGTTTGAGTAAACCCAGTGACCAAACTTGGCATTTACCCCTTCTTTCTTGGTCTAGTTTAATATTTAGTTCAGTGGATGACATCCAAGTACACAAGGACCAGGCATAAATTTTTATTATATTCGAGTCCAACGCAATAAACTGGAGAAATCCATCAATCTAGTTCGGTGGGCAGATTGATAAATTATATTGAACATTCATATTGTATTTGTCGTGATTACTAACAAAGCATGAGAATAGCATTTGGATAATTAATACATTATATTCGTTTGGTTCTGATTTGACAATAACCTTTTTATGGTCTGCCTCAGTTAATTCATTGTGTTAACATGTCTTGAAATTGCTCTTCTTTCTTCTATTGAACCACTAACCTAACCTTATAACATTTTATAATGGGCTAATACCACTGGGAACCCCGAACTATTAACTATGTGTCATTTGTGTCGTAAAGTATTCGATATGACATTTATGTCACAACGTATGATAGTTGTGTGTCATTTATGTCCTGACGATTTTGTTGACCGTTATAGATAACGGTTGACCAAATGGAAGTCAACATTAACATTGACTTTTGTTGACGTGGCAGCCACGTAGATGCCACGTCAATGACACCTCATATTTTAATTAAAAATTAAATAAAAAATAATATATTGTTATATAAATTAAAAAAATGTAAACTCAATTAACTACTATTGTTTCTAAAAATTAAAATAAAAAACAAGTAAAGGAAAACTCTCCACCACCGCATCCTACTCCCTCTGCTCTTCAGCTTCTCCACTGCCGATTTGGAGATTGGGTAGATTTGGAGATTGGAGGCTAGCTAGGGTTTGAGGGAAGATGGCAAAGTCGAGATGAGAGGACCTCATCATTGAGAGGCTAGCTATTGAGATGAGAGGAGATCGTCGTCGCCGCTACACTCCCCACCGCCGCCTTCTCCCACCGCTGATCATGCTTCCTCCGTCGTCGTCATACTCTCTGCCCCATATAGAATAGCCAGCGCCGATTACATACCCCAAATCACAAACCATTGCAAACCCCGAATCCGTCGTTACTCTCTCTTTTTTTAGCTTCCCCACCACCACTTGTTCCATCTCACTTCCAATCAAACTTCGAGCCTCGCAAGATCGGATAACCAGATCTTCTCCATGGAAAACCCTTCGCGTTTGAATTGCAGAACTATAAGGGTAGTCACCGCCGACCATATCTCTTCCTCCCGATTGTAATCAAATCTGCCTTTTCTGCTTGTCGAAGTCGAATTGAACAGGGAGGCCGGTGTCTGATGAATGAGGAAGTGGCGGATGCGGCGGTGGTGGTCGTTGCGGGATTGAAGAAAACCGAAAAGCAATAGCAGCCCAAGTTCACCCTCCCATTGTAGCTCCTTTTGATTTTGCCCACCACAGGGACGCATGAAACCCAGCTACCTCCTACCGCTGCGAAGGTAGGGAAATAGAGTGAGTCGATTTTACAAAGAAAAAGAGAGAGGAAAGAGCGGCAGCGGATCTCGGCCGACCAGAAAAACCAGAGAGCTGGGGTTTCATCGAGGATAATTAAAAATTAGTTTACAGATCTGTTTTTTATTTTTATTTTTGTAATTTTCTTTTTTTATAAGGAAAATAATTAAAAATTAGTATTATAAATTCCATGTCAGATGCCACATCACCGGCGAGTAGACTTTCTGTTAAAAACTAACGGTCAACGTCAGTCAACTCTAACGAAAAAATAGTTTAGGACACAAATGTCATATCGAATACTTTAGGACACAAATGACACAAAGTTAATAATTCGGGTTTCCTAGTGGTATTAGCCCTTATATGATTTAGCTAGTAATCAGCCCGCGCTCCGCGGCGGGGTAAGTTTGACTTTAATAATTTTATGGATTACGAAATATATTTTTATGCATATAATCTGAAAGTGGTTAAGATAGTTGTTGGATAGAGCCTGTTGTATGGCATTGTTGAGCTTAGGCCACGCTTTGCCGCGGGAAAATGTCAATTTATGTCATCAGTGTGCATGGGGACGTAGGATTGTGTGACCTGGCAGCCTACATCAAGCATCATTGTTGCCAAACCAAGAACGATGGCATCGTAGATTCATTATAGCAGAGTGCACGAAAATGTGCTGGGGATTTAGTTTGTCAAGGCAAATAAACAAAAGGTAGATTCATTGCCCGCGCTCCGCGCCGGGATGTGAAATTCTAAAGGTTAACTTATTTCAGTGTGTACTAATGAATGCCCCTATAAGGACCCCTTGTACACTCCAACTGCGCCATACTTTCATTTAGTCTAGAAAGTAGAAACAACAATAAGCTTGCTTAATAATAAGAGAATAAAAAAGGAAATCTATCAATGTAATGAGTGTCTATATAAAGAATCATAGCTACACTAAAGAACTTAATCAAAACCATGAACAGTTTGATTCAACCTTCACACCAGCTGTCATCTAATGTCGAATCAATGATTTGGCTATTATAACTAAATTCACAAATCTTACTGGACAATTAATTTTATGAAAGATTGAATCACCATCTAAAGTCACAAACGACTAAACAACATTAACAAAAGCTCCTATTTTTACCCCCAATGAACAACGTAAATGTAATTGGCATATGGTAAACAACTACAAAATCTGCAACAGGTATAACCATCTGCAAATCATAAGAGAAACAGAGTCTGGTCATGTTTGTTAAATACCTCACTCCAGAAAACAACTCCTGCCTGCAAAATAGAGAAAAAAAAATATCAATATTAGTGATAATGCTAAAATATTAGGAGGGAAGTCACATACTTCAAGGGAAGTGATGATTAGAAACAACTATGATGACCGAGTGAAGTAATTCTTGGATATGGGAAGGTGCATTCTCCAGGGGAAAGTGATCATGAAAAACAATAGTCACTCGTTCCCAACAGTAGATCGCAAGTCCGAAATAGTCAATCTTATGTTATTGATTTTACACCGGACTCCTCCTTCAGCCACTTAAATTCGTCTGCAGCAAACCAAAGCTGGAACTTGCTACCAGTGCAAGGGTGTCTGAAACCATGACAAAAACATATGTAAAAACAGGAGAAAGAGAGGACTCCACATTGGATTGTCTGTTGGAAAAAATCATCGACAACAGTGAACTTGTGAATCAACAAAGAAACCTCCCATGAGAAAAGAAGGCGTAGGTAAACTCTGGGTGCTCCATTTCACAATCTCTTGGTCTCCACCGAGTGGGAAGACAAATTGATCAACTTTGAACTCCAAGCATCCCACCTTTAGCACAACCATCAACTGAATCTCAGTTTAGGAAGTACCAAGCATTATGACTACCAGTCTGTTGAAAACACCATGTATCGATTAAGAAAACAGAACCAAACACACCAAATTGGAAGATGAAAAACAATCGCTTACCAAAACTTTCACGGTTGGATGTTCAGAAATCCACCATTGTGCCGAAGGACAATTAATAGCCAACAAAGCTATGGACTTTCATGACTCAGAAATATGATCATAACTTACCGATTTTTTTACCAAACTCCTGTTATTTTGAACAACAAAGCACAAATCAAATTAAGAAGAGAACAAAACACCCAGATTAAAAAAAAAGAGAATAACATCAAGTAACCATTAATCTGGATTAGAACCCATGAGCACTGTAAGCTCCCCATCTATCACATACCGTGATCCAATCAATCCCTGCTATTTTGTAAGATTTGGGTTTAGTATAGAAAAGTAGGATAATAAAATTATTAGAATTTGAAAACAGAACATATTCAGAACCTGAAATATAAGGAAAAGGCCTCAAAGATTTCTATTAAGTGTATTCATGGATGCCAATTTTCAACACCACATTCTAGCAGAAGAAGATACGATCAATAAAGAGCAAAATCAAAAAAAAAAAATATATATTAAAAGCTATGGACTTTCATGACTCAGAAGTATGTGCACCGCAGACCCAACGAAGCTTGCATTCACGACTGCTAAAATGGCCATCACTGAATCACGGATTGGCATCCTAGCAAGTGGCTTTTTCCTAGAATTCAAAGGCGTCTTTCTAACAGTAAACTCGTTAATAGCATTTTCTACGAAAGCAATAAAACAAATTCATAAACAGAAGAAACAGATAGAGAGAACGAATCCACTAATGACGGAGAGGAGGAACCATTTGAACTACAAAAGCTTGCAAATCTGGGGTCTAATATCCTCCTGGGAACGAACAGAACTGGCATTTGGTTGCTCATAGTTCGTTGGTTCCTACGAAAGAATAAGGGAGATGTCTTAGAAATTAAAACCCAAATATTTGGCATCTGAGAAGGTGGTCGATATTTCATGAATCTCCCCCCCCCCCCCCCCCCCCCCCCGAAAAGACAATTATTGGAGCATATGAAATGGCAAGAGCATTCATAAGTGAGAACCGTGTGGGGGAAGATGAACAGGAAAATAAAAATGGGAGACCGGTGTTAAAAGAAAATGCAACTAAAGATCGCAAAAGAAAGAGAAGAAGCAAAACCATCAAATTCTCACCTTTAAACATTAGGGGTAGCAAATCTGGTTTCTCCTCATCGATTACCTCAAGCAAAAACCTCAAATCTGGTTAACTACCTCTCCTCTGACTTGTCTCCATACCTCTTCCAATCCTCTAGTTGATCGAATACTCTCTTCTGGTCGGGCATCTCCAACAAAGATGATGATCGTGGGCGAACAGAGGAAAGATCCAGAACTGAGGTCCGCAACTTCGCCCCTCGTCGCCCTACGGATTCTCCATCTCTATCAGCAACTTGATTCTGGAAAATTACTGCATAAAATTTCAGTATTCTCCAGTCAGATATCTAGCGACTGAAAAACAAAAGTTGCAAAGAACCAAATATCTTAACAAAGAAAAATATTCTTGGTCCTTTCTTGGCTAATTGAGCGAGAATGCAAAGATTATAAACGAAAAATGGAATCCCCTCCTTTCTGTCTCCGTAGTCTGAAAGTTCTATGGCCTTTCGTCAATCCCACCTCCAAGGAATCTCTTGCAGAGGGGAGAATATGCAAACAAAGACCACAAAAGAGAAGAAAAGGTTAGATAGAAGATGTAGATAGAGAGGGAAACCAAAGCACAAAAGAGAGAGAAAGAGGCCATTTTTCGTTCACCTGGTTCATCCTGAGCTTTCCCCTCATCGATGAAGATGGTACGGCTAAGACCAGATCTGAAAGTATGATGCGGAATTAACCATGAAAACCTCACATCAAACCCGTCGAAGAGAGAGATTTAGAGACTCTGATAAGAAAGAAAAACTCACCCGAACCTAGCAAGCATATTGTCGATTCCTGCAATCAGTGTTCTTTTCCCGGGGAGAAAAGGAATCATGCGCATCGGCTGGTGCTTCGCGAACCCCATCTCGTCAATGGCCTGCAAGACTCCAATTTCCTAAGCCAGACTCAAAGGGGAGAATGCTCAGCGGTTCTTCGATTGCACCGGCGGAGCTGAGAGGAGAGATCGAGAGATAATCATAGCGACAGGGGCGAGACTTTAATCAGTATCCGAAAAAGAACAAAAAAAAAAACGAAAACAGTTGAGATTGAAAGCTCACTGGATTTGTGCCTCCTCTTCGTGGTTCACACCTTCCCTCTTCTTCGTCCAAAGAAATCAGATACAGAGGAATAGGATCGGCGTCGATCGAAGCGGCTGACGGAGCTCCTTCTTCGGCAAGCTGGCTGCTTCATCGCAGATTTTCGAGATTCTGGCGGTCACAAAGAGAGAAAGAGAGAAGGAAAAGATGGTGAGAATAGGTCAGAGAAGGAGAAGATTTGGGAAAAATGGTTGTTTGCAGCTAAATAGGTTAGAGAAGGTCAGAGAAAACATAGTGAGCAAGAGAGAGAAGGTGAAAAGGAAGAGTGGTTTTAGATTTCTCCTCTCGACTAATTGATCGGGAAAAGGCTTCCTCTTGATTCCTAACATCTCGAGACCTTCACCCTCTTTTTTACAGCAGGGTGAGTCACCATCCTCAGTCTCGCTCCGCTTCATTGAACACCGCGCTTGTAACTTCCTTGCGAAGGATACACTCCTCCCAAACAGTAACCTTATCTCCTCACAGTGGTGGTGAAGTTCCCAAAAATTCTCGGGCAGAGGGAATCACATGCCATTTGAAGGAGGGAAGGATCAAGAGAGAAAAAGTGAATATGAAGGGGGATTTGAGGGCAACGCGGCACTCACAGAAACAACGGAGGACAAAACTACAAGAGCCAGAGAGAAGCTCGCAACCAATAAAAAAAGGCAGGCGGGGCCAGTTGCAGACCATGGACCAATGGGAGGAGGGTGAACAGTAATTTTGAGTCCAAATGAATAGTAAATTGTGCCTAGGCGAACAGTAACCGTGTCTTTGCAAATAACTTGTTCTAATAGTATTCTTACCTTGTAAGTTTGTATCTAGTAACCCCTTTTGGAATTGAAAGTACAATGTTGCTACATCAGTTCTACTAATGTTTTGTAAAGAGAAAATTACTAAATTTCCTCATTGATTATTTGAACGATGGAAATACGCTCGAATGATGAATTTTGGTTTATCAGTTATTGTGTGAGGTAAGTGCAACTACTGAAACGAAGTATGTCATTTCTTTTATAGACTTCACTTATTCTCGTTTTCTTGTGTAAATGATTATAAGATGGACATATATTGAAACCAAGTAGTGTTCCTGACATTACAATAGCAAGGAGTGTGACAAAATGGTTGTAGCAAAGTGATCATCCCTACTCGGCAAATCTCATAAAACGACGACAATCAAGAGGTAAATTTTCAATATATTCAAGTATGAGGCATAAAGTTCGGAAGAAGAAGAATTATGCTTGTTCGGGCGGCTGCATATGATATTATATGGAACATCCATGTTATGCGAGTAGTGGAATGGTGGAATACGACATAATGGAATGTCATCGTTCTTATACAAACTCTCCACTTTGCCTTTCAGGGGATATATTGGTCGTACTCGCTAACTAATTATGAAAACTATATTTGAATATACACTGCATTTGGTATGATTTGATTTAATTTTGATCAGACATGTTGATTAATTTGTTTTCATGGAGATCCATGGAATCAAAACACAAAAAAAACCATTGAATCATAATTTAAACAAATTATAATTAGATCTAGTGAATAGTAATTAGATCCAAACAGTGATTTGATCTTCCATGGAATTGTAACACAAAAACTCATCAATTTTTAGAATAAAAATAAAAATAAAAACAAATTATAATTTATTTTGGTGAATGGTAATTACATCCAAACATTGATTTGAAATCGCATGTTATGGAGTGTGCGAATCAAATCGTTGACTACCTTTGAACATATTTGTGGTTTGCCTCGGGTATAACTGGGGAACTGGGGGTGATGTATCTCGAGGTTGCTCAACCCCTTTACATTGACCGACTAACCTTTTAACCCTGAGAATTCCCCCCCCCCCCCCACCCAACATGGTGGCAAAATCGGCGGTCGGGTGTCATTTTCTCACATGGACCACCAAATTCGAGCTCTGGTTCTAAACCTTTAGATTTACCCGCACTTGTTTTTCCACACAACTACATGTACAGAACCACATTTTCACGTCCCAAGATCACCTTCCAATACAAACCAAAACTCTCTTTGCATCACCCTTTATATTGTGATCTTTCTTACACCTTCATACGCTATCAGTTTACACCTTCAACCACATATCATCTTATGTCATTCATTTACCTATAGCATCTACATCCTTTGACTTTTGAATGCTTGGTAGGGGTTGCTTATGTTGTTTAAAATATCTTGGGATCCTTGAGATGGAAAAGTTCTTCCCTTTCCATGCTTGTTTTCGAATGTGCTCCTTCATTTAGCTCATAAAAATATGTCTAAAGTGTGTCCTAGAAAGTGTATGCTTTGTGATCAAACAATTGGTATATGGTTTTCTGGTTGTGTTGGATATATTAAAGATGCATTTGGGTACATGCCCCTTTACATATTGTGTTTGAAGTTGCGTTAAATGATTGAGGAGTAGTGGCCTCTACCTGTGCCATAACGCTTTTACGATTTTGTGTGATTTGATAGTTGGTTATAATGATATTATCCTTCGTTGTACGATGATGGTTCTATCCACGTTTATTATTTTATACGTTCCATCTTAGATGTGGCATTAACTAAAGTGTGTGGTGATCTTATCTTGGATTGGTGAACGCTTTTCTCTTTTGAAGTTCTATCACGAAGAAAATAGGTTACAAGGAAATGACGCCTCCAAAGATTTTCACTCTCCCCTAGGAAAGTGATGACGATCGCTAATCCCATGGTCTTACATTGGATCCTCATGGGCTCAAGTCATCGTTACATTGCTCGCCAAAAATAGCAATGTAGGGGTTGAACGATGATCGACCCAAATTGTGTGTGCCTCGTAGACAACATGACTTTTATGAGACTATGACTTGCTTGCTCTTCGCATAGCTGCCTAACATAAGCTACCTTTTGAAATTTGACGCTTGGATTGGAGAGATTGTGCTATGAGCCAAAACCTCCTTCATGGCCAAAGCCAAGCTACTCGAATTTCTAAGCACTATGAATTATGTTACCATTCTTATAATGGTGTTTCCTTAAGTCGAGGCGATGGTGCATTTCCTCTATTCAGTTTTGTTTTATTTCTTTCTTGTTAAAATTTAAATTGTCAAGAATCATGACGAACTTTTCAAGTGTACATGTAATCTCGCAACGCTAGCTAGAGGTATATTTGTTATACTTTTTTCTATTACTTTGCTTTGGGCCAACAAACACATTGTCCAATTTAAAGCATGGGTGAATTTAGTAGACTGCTAAATGTTTAGAACTTCAAAATGTTAAGTTTTATCTATGTATTTGGGGACACTTTTGTGTGCATCGTGCATTAAAATTTTTGAAAATTTTCAATAATGGCACATCCCCTTCGTAATTACAAACTCATAATACTTGATTTCTAGTCACTATGTTGGTATGTGTTCTAGGGAGACTAGTGTAGTGGCTATAAAAGAAATATTTGTCATGAGACTAAAGACCATTCAAAATGGCTAGATACACGACCTGCCACTATCCTTCGTGGGCTTTTAAACTCTGCCAATGAGTCTCACTGCTTAAAAAGTTTTCGATGAGTTAGAAATGTATTTTATACATGAAAAATCATACCTGGCAAAGTAGTATGAAGAAAACTGTCTTGACAAATAGAGTGTGGGGCTAAAATGTGCCAACGTGTGAGGCAATCACTCGTGCACAAGGCACAATAGGAAAGGTTCAGCTGAGCATCGATTCACGGTGGTATGATGTTACTTATCCAATACAATCCCCCATCGAGTGAAGTGTCGTTTGAGAATTGTGCATAGAGGGCATGGATAGAGCTTATTACACCCATCTATACCATTGCCTCTCCATAGGGATATAGGATAAGGAGTTGAACAAAGCCCTTATATGAGAGCTAAGACGCAAAAAATTGCTCTTACTCGATCATAGTAGCTATGTTCAAACATACCAAGCCAAAACCCATATCAATATGTGCTAAAAAAGTGTAAAGTTCGACATGCAATTCAGAAAAGAGAATAATAACTCTTATTGTCAAACAAGGGTAGAGATGTGCTTAAAAATAAGAACAAAATTTGCGAAAAGTTTCACCCTATATGTTTTTTAGACTCTCGCATTGGGTTAATTGCTTGTCTTGGATGGAGGTTGGCCAGATTGTCCTTACGAGATATGAAGCTCATTGACGTTGTCTGCTTCTCTAAGTGTGAAGGTTGACCTCGTAGGCTACTTATGATTCACTACCTACGATCGAAAGTTACATGTCATCATAGAGGTCTTGTGAGATGTATGGTTTTGAGTTTGGTTTGCTTGAGGATAATAAAGTTCAAGAGTGAGGTTATTTGATGACACATAAATACTACTATTTTAGACCCCCTACTGAATGGCATGTTTTGGATAATTTCCATATCTTTAATGTCATATCGACTTGGAAATGATTGATAATTACTCCAATGTGTGTTTAGTAGCTCCTAAGATCACTTTTACTATTTATATGCCCTTTGGATAGTGGTTTAGGCGTTTTATGTGTTTTCATACCAAAGTATCCTAGTGGACCACCTTGTACGCGCGAGAGACATCAAGGCCCAATTGCTGGAAGTAAGAAAAGAAGATTGGTGGAGCTCAAGGCCAAATGTTGTAACATTTACTCAACCAAAATCCCAAAATAGTGCCTCGGATGTCATTTCTGAAAGGACCAAAACCTGTCAAGATTTGTGCAAATATGCTTTGCTTGGAGACTAAGTTGGAGATAAGCTAGAGCGATTCAGCTAGACAAGTTTCGCTCCTACTTTTTCTCCTAGAAAACCTTATAAAAGATGCTATAAATAGACCCTCAAGGCAAGAATTTTAGACATAAGCTATACAAGGGGGTTACTCTGCCGACAAAGCAAGTCACTAGTTCATAAAAATCAAGGGTAAAATGGCGGCAGGAATGGTGCCATAGACACCATTTTAAGTTATAGGGGAATCTCATATTTCGACTGGTGTTTTCTCTAGATTATGTCCCCGTGAGTGGCTAGCTCGTTAGTTGTGTAATTTTGCGAACCATAGAGGTTCGTACGATGTAACGTTGGATTCTTGGTTATATATCGTATTTTTCTACTCCTCCTTAATTTCGTGTAAATGCAAACTTTTATTTTCATATCGTTACAAATTAAAGATTTGTTATATGCCCCCTCACGTGCCCCTACGGAGCAAACCCATCAGGGTCCGGTTAGGGTGGACGGGGCTGTTTGCATGTGGGATGGGGCTGTCCGGAGTGGTTCGCACTCTGCTGGTGGTTTGGTTATTCTGACCCTGGATCGAGATGTTTTAATGGCTAAGGGCGTGCAGTTTCCGTGGTTTGATGACCCCCTGGTTGTGGAATTGGTGACTCTTCGTGACGCTGTTCTGTGGTGTTAGTCGCTCGGCTTCGCGGATATTAACTTTGAGGGGGATGCGAAAGTGATCATTGATAAAATCAACCAAGCGGATGCTAGAGATAGCCGGTTAGGAGCTGTTCTGGAGGAACTCATTCAGATTTTTGCCAGTAATCCTGGGCTTAGTGTTAGATTTGTAGGTCGGCGTAGCAATAGGGTAGCCCATTTTGTGGCTAGAAAAGCCCTCTCTCTGTACTCGAATATGAGTCGTTTTTTTTTTATTTCCGGACCTGGCTGAATTTCAGGATATAGCTATCTTTTTGTTTCATCAATACAAGATTATCATTTTGTCAAGAAAAAAAAAATAAAAAAGATTTGTTATATGCAAAGGTTTGTGACTTGTGTGTAAATCTTAAAAGTTAAAACCCATTGCCCACACCCGCTCGTACCCCTACAAAGCAAAGTAAACCAAGCCGTTTTCGTTTGGCCTTCCGTTTACAACCCACGGCAGAACAACCACAGAAGGCGCCGTGCCGCCGTCCCGTCTATTGGAACTTGAGATATCGGTGCGGCAAGCAATGGCTTCCTTATCAACGGCGGACGACCCATCATCATCCCCTACCATATTCATACCCGGCGAGTGGGAGGCGGCCGCAGACACCATTGCAGACAACTCCAACACCAGTCCGCTTCCTATTGCCTTAATTTGTGGCGCCAAAAACTGCGGCAAAACTACCTTCTCGCGCTACCTCCTCAACGTTCTTCTCCGCAGGTACTTTGGAAAACCCCGATTCTAAGTTTCGCTTTTTCCATTATGGCTTGCTTGCTGAAAGCTCTAAACTTGTTGAACTCCTGCTTGAAAATGAGAACTCGAATACTTCAACTGTTGGCTTGAAAATGTGCCTTCATATATTTTGAGTCTAGCTGATTCGAAGAGCACGGTTGTGCATTGAATTGTTGTTGGTTCTAGAATAATTCATTTGCTCTTTGCTTTGAAGTGATTCATGTGCGAGTTTTAGCTTAACTATCGTGCTTTTATTCAGGAGGCGATCAATGAAGTAAGTATTTCCGGATGGTCCTTACTTAGCTCTGACACGTTTTTGCAGATATAAAAAAGTGGGATACTTGGATACCGATGTCGGGCAGCCTGAGTTTACTACTCCTGGTTTCTTATCCTTGACAGTGGTTGACAAATTAACTGAAGGTGCTTTCATTTGGTTTATTTCTCACTATGATTCATTTTAATTCGTCTCAACTTCTCTCTGCTTATCTGTTTTTTTGAATATCAGATTTGACAATTCCCTGCTTAAAGACACCTGAGAGGTTGGCTACTTGACCTTCTTAGTGGCCACACAGGGATGCATTTAAGAATGCAGTACATACAATTGCTGAGTTTTATTTATTTATATTTGTTCTAGATGCTTTTTCTTTGGTGATACTTCTTCCAAACGGGATCCTACATCTTACCTGAAGTATATATCTGCACTTTGTGACTACTACCGCAAGGAGTACTGCTCTGGCACTGAGAGTTCCTTAAAGAGAGGGTTTCCTCTTGTGGTTAACACCCCGGGTTGGGTTAAGGGTATGCTTCCTCCGTACATTTTTATTTTCTATTTCCATTTCGACTGTGACGATTCTTCTTCATGTAGAGGTTCATATTCTAGTAGACTAACTCTGAAGTTCTTGTTTTCCAGGTGCTGGTTATGATATACTGGTGGATATGTTGAAATATATTGCTCCCAGTCATGTGGTCAAGATAGATATATCTTCGACAAAAAAGAATCTACCAGCTGGGAAATTTTGGTTAGATGATGCTGCAGACCAGGAGGTTGATCTCATTGAGATCTGTTCAGCTCATCAAAATTCTTTCAATAGACCGTAAGTTCATCAAGAAACTATGATATTCTGTCAGTCTCCCACTAGCAAAACTTTTTTAGTTTTGGCTCTGGAAAGATGGAATTTTTTGTATGATATGCTTCTAGATATCTATAGTTTACAGCACTCCTAGGATTTTAAGTTGAAATAAATATCATAACTCTTCTGTGGTGACACGTTTGGGAACTTAGTATTTTTTGGATATCTGAAGCATGTTCGTTGGTTAATTTTAGTTGCAGTAACTGCCATGATTTCTTTGTTTCATTTGCCTGTGGTAGCTATTTCTCCACACCTCTTTTTTCTGAAATTGTGATATTGATAAGTACTTCAATAAAAAAAATCGCGAACAGGGCGCTAGTGAAAAAGGATGCATATCTTTTGCGGGACTTGAGAATGATGGCTTATTTCAGACAGTGCTTTCCTAGCACCTTGAGTGTTACCACAATCAAGGAACTTGCAAATGCCCTTGCTTCTCACCCTCCTTACCAAGTTCCTATATCAACTATCAAGATAAAGCATCTGTATTGCCAGGTTGGTCTAGAACATCTGAAACTTATGTAAGATTTTCCATGTTAAGGGGAGCTATCTGGACTGCTTTTTCATAATGGTTCAAATATTTTATCTATCTGCTAGGTACCTCAAGCAGAAGTCTTCTACAGTTTGAATGCCACTATTGTCGGTTTGGCAAATAGTTCTGATAAAGCAGGAACTCTACCATGGTGTCTCGGTCTTGGTACGTCCTGTTTCCCTGCTGCTGTCTCAACACATTTTGGTTATCAAGTCGAAACTTCATTTCACTGCTAACAACATATTGAATTACCACCTTCCAGAAGAAAGAAACCATTCATAGTATTGCAATGCAACTAACTCTAATTTGTAAGTCTTGTTATGTTTTGCTTCCACTTGAGCAGGTATAGTAAGAGGAATCGATACATCGAAAGGTTTGCTTTACATCATCACCCCTGTTCCCCAAACCACCCTGGAAAAGGTTGATCTTCTCCTACAGGGATTCATCGAGATACCTACTTGTTTGTTGAAGGTGATTGATCTTCTCTATTTGCTCTCAATTCGTCGTTTAATGGTCTTGATATAACATGAGTTCTGATCCGAATCGGATTCTTGATTCTCTTTAGGTTCAAGGATGTATGTCACCTTACATGTCTGCTAATGTGTCGCCAGCAAGCTAACACTCGTGGTAGAAAGTACAAAGTCTCGACTGACAGTGCATGCCGCATACCCTTACTAACTGAAATGGAAACTTAGGGTGAGGAACTCAGTGATTTTTCTAGACCCACTTCCTGTTCATTTATGTAGTAGTGTCTTTATCTTTGGGAAGAACTTGTGATTGTAGTTATTCCAAGTTACTGATGTTGGTTTGATGGCGGCCAATGTTTTAAGATGATGAATGAGGTTTCGTGTTTGATTTTCCATGCAATTCTCTCTATCTATCCTTATCGTTGAGAAATGGAAACATCGAGACTCTATTTTCAGAGCTCTATTTCAGGTGGGAAAATAGGGAAGAAATAACCCACCTTCATCATCATAGTCCTCTTCTCCTCCTCTTCCAATAGAAAGCTTGTTTGTTGTCTAACAATAGCAAAGTGCAAAACAAACCATCCAATTTTTGAAACCCCAAGATCTAATTTTCCATTAACTTCCCCACCTTCTCTCTTTTGAGTTTTTCACCTCCTCCTCTCTTCTTCCCCTCTCTCACAGCCATACACAGAGGGGAAGGAAGAAAAGGAAAAAAAAAAAAAAATCTTGCTCAGGTGGTGATCATGATATTTCGCACCACCATCGTTCTCTGAGAGAAAACCCACAAAATTTTAAAAGAAAGAAACACCATGGAAACCAAGGTTCCCAATGTGGCAACGACGAAGAGAACATTGAGAGGCTACGTGGAACAGGAACTGGGCAAGTGGCCGCACTTCATAGTCTACGCCGTTTTGGAATGGGTCTTGATCCTAGTCCTGTTCGTCGACGGGTTCCTGGCGTTCTTCGCCAACGAATACGCCAAGTTCTTCGACCTCCGGCTGCCATGCCTATTCTGCACCAGAATCGACCACGCCTTCCGCCACAGATCTCACGACTTCTACTACAACGACTCCATCTGCGATTCCCACCGGAAAAAGGTCTCCAGCCTGGCTTACTGCCACATCCACAAGAGGCTCTCCGATATCAGGAAAATGTGCGAGGGCTGCCTCCTCTCCTTCGCCACCGAGAAAGAATCCGGCTCCGACACCTACAAATCCCTCGTCGGAATCCTCCACAAGGACGTCGAGCTCTTCTTCGAGGACGACGAGGTCCAGCTCCCAAAACAGCCGAACGACGTCGTCATGGCCGCGGCCCAGGCTCACCATTCCCTTCACCGATGCTCCTGCTGTGGGGGCCCACTCAAAGGCGGAAAACCCAAGGGGAAAAGCGCCGGATTCTCTCAGGCTCCAACTCCGTCCCCACGAGCGCCGACGGTGGCGGCTCTCCGCCATCTCGAGCTGCCGCCATCGACGAGGTTCGACGTGGAGAATAACAACACCAATAATATGATGGACGAGATGGGCGAGGAGCTGATGAGGACGCCTAGCTTCATCCGAGGGAACAAGTTCTTCGGCATCCCGCTGACCGATTCTGCGACCACGACTCCCCGGTGGGCGATTCGGTGCCCTCCTAAGAAATCGGCGCTCGACAGGGGGTCCGATTTCTCCGCCGAGGAAGGCGGAGGCGGGACCGGAGACCAGAGCGCCCCGACGGAGCCAGAGGGCGGGGGCGATTCGAGGCAGGTCCGATTAGACCGGAAGTCGCTGATGGAGCTGTACATGGAGCTGGACGAGGAGAGGAACGCGTCGGCGGTGGCGGCGAACAACGCGATGGCGATGATCACGCGGCTGCAGGCGGAGAAGGCGGCGGTGCAGATGGAGGCGCTGCAGTACCAGCGGATGATGGAGGAGCAGGCGGAATACGACGAGGAGGCGATCCAGCTGCTGAGGGACGACCTGAAGAAGAAGGACCGGCAGGTGAAGTACCTGGAGAACGAGATCGAGGCGTACAGGATCAGGTACGGGGATATAATGGAAGATGGGTTTGTGATGGACGAGGTTGATGAAGATGACGATGATGGAGCGTATCAGGAGGTGGAGGCGTCGGAGTACGGTACCCCGAGTTATGGCGGAATGGGGAGCAACATCAACAGAGAGGAGAGTTCAGGGAAGAATCAGAGTGAGAATGCAGGGGAGGGAGGCTCTGTGTCTGTGTCTGTGAGGCCCAACAAGTTCGGTGGACTTCGCCGGCTGAAACATCTCGAGTTGGAATCGTCGGACGATGAGACAGGTAATTTTCTGATTTTCGCACTCACTGATTCTTCATCCTGTTGATATTGGGTGTAACTAAAGTGTTTGATTGATTTCCCCTGAAATGGCAGAGCAAGAGAGCAGAATGAAGGATCTGTCTCATCTGCGAGCGCGGGTGAGAGCATTGGAAGAAGAGGATGATTTCTTCAGAGATGATCAAGTAATTACAGTAGGAGGAGGAGTAGAGAACGGGAGCGACAAGGGGAAACTTCTGTCGGAGATATCCGAGAACCTGCACAAGCTTCGTCAGGACTTCTGAAATGTGTGTTGTGTCTTCTATGCAAGCACAAATCCACACCATCCTTTTCAGTGTAAAGAGTAAAAAGCTTCCTCCAGTCCAGTGAATGTCTCTCTCTAGCAGCACGTAGCTTCTTCAGCAAGTAAGATAGTGGCGAGAAGCATACTAGACCCTTCCTTGACTGAGCGAGCAAGGATGATGAGAGAAGACACCCTTTTGGAATTGGGAAGGGTTCCTTCCTTCCATCTGTTCTCCAAGACAAGCCTTTCCGGGTCTGCGAGAGATGAGATTTGTCGAGCCCAGCTTACCAGATGCTGGTTGTAGCTTTAGTAGGAAAGAGGGGAGAAACAATGCCAACACAACTGTCTGTAATATTTAAGCTTCAAGTTTTGTGTCAGTTTCCCCTCCATAAGTTTATACACTCCCCATCGTCAATCCATTTGTTTCCAGTTACCACATAAATTTGACTTTAACAAACAGGACCCAAATAATCATATTGTTCTCAACACAGAGCATCTCTTGGAAAAAAAAAAAACACAACTATAACTGTTAGTGTGTGGTATATGATCCACGATTGAACATCTTCCAACAACTTGAGTTATTGGGATCAACTGGTTCTTGACATGGTATCAGAGCCTGGAACCAAAAGGTCATGTGTTCGAATCTCCACGACCCCCAATATTAACCGCTGTCTTTCAAGCACATGGTATGGTGGGCCTGTGCAAACTTCAAGCCCATGGGTTGGCTTTTGTTTGAGGGGGCGTGTTAGATAGTGGTATAAGATCCACGATTGAACCTCTCCCAACAACTCGAGTTATTGGGATCAACTGGTTCATGACATGGTATCAAAGCCTTCTGTGACCAAGAGGTCTTGTGTTCGATTCCCGGTGACCCCCATTTGTTAAGCACATGGTATCCTTGTCTTCAGACCTGTGCAAACTTCAAGCCCTTGTGAGTGACTTTCGTTTGAGGGGGCGTGTTAGTGTTGTGGTATATAATCCACGATTGAACCTCTCCCAACAACTCGAGTTATTGGGGTCAACTGGTTCTTGACAATAACAGCCTTGGCTGCAGGTTTGCCAACGAGGCATGGACTAGTGTTCCTTGTAGCTCTTCTTTCATTCAAGCACCATCAGCAAGCTCAGTACTTCCCTTGCTGATGATCTGTGCATGCATCTGACCACGCTGACAATTTAACCACTCCACAGAAATTCACATCATTAATTAACAAGGCCTTTGCCCAGCTCATAAATCTCCTGCAGTCTGCAGAACCAACTCAAGATAGAGAAAGCATTTTTCTTTCTCTACCATCAGATGAGGCAATAAGAAGGTCCGACATCTTTCTTCATATGACCCTCTAAAGCACAAACTAAGTTTAGATCAAGAATTGCAGTTGCAGGTTCTCAGCCCATAATTTGTACTTGCCATGTAGGCTGTAGCTTATTTTATTTTTGTGTGTTGGCTGGACATAATAGTTTTTATCGGAAAAATTCCAAAATACACATATTTTTTAAAATTTTTTGGTTTAATACACTTGTATATCCAAAACTTTTACGGTTGTGCCAATAATATCCAAATTTCTCGAAATATCACTTATAGCCATGTTTTAAAGTTGTTCTTTGTCAAATTTATCCATTTCCGTTAAATACTTTGACGGCGTTAATAATTCCGTCAACATAGCTGACGACTAGCTGACTGGGCGCCAACTAAGCAGACACGTAAGCGCCAACTATGCAAAGGTGACATGTAATAAATTAAAAATAATTTAAAATAATCTCCCAGAATTTTTTTTCCGCTTTCGTTTTTAGGGTTCGCACCCTGGCGGCGATTGAACCTCCTCCCGCCGACTGAATCTCCTTCCAGCGATTGAAGATCCTCCGGCCGACTGAATATACTCCCTGGATAGTCTGCTACCATTCCCTCTTGAGATTCACCAGGCCTTTATCCACATCTCTTCTCAGATCTGTCTTCTTTTATGACTACTCGTCTTCTCGCCATCGTTTAGTCTATGTCCAATCTCTAGCAACATGGATTTTAGGCTATTAATTTTGATATGAAGCAGGGGGTTTGAAGGAGCATGCCACCATTTCCCCAAGCCTTCCCCTGCCTCTTCTTCCCCCTCCGCCGTACCCTATCACCATTGTTATCGGTGACAACACCCCGGCAGATCTACGATTCACGGTGAGGAAGCTCTGAAATCAAAGTTTTCCCCCATCATTCCCCTTCCTCTCCTTCCACCTCCGCCGCACCCAATCACTATTATTATCAGAGGCGACGACTTGGGATTCTGGCCAGGCCGATGTAGATAAACAAGAGGCAGTTGCGGCGGCGGGAGAGGATAGATAGCTAATGGTTTGATTTGATGTTAATGGTTGATCTCTAGGAACTTCGATTCACTTTCTGATTTGATGGATATGAATGAGGTTGCTGGGTTCGGGCATCGGCAAGGTGAGGGATTTAAGAGGATGGAAAAATCAAAAGAATGAAGCTTGGTAGGAAAAGAGGGGAAGTGGGTAGAAAAAAGGAGAAGGGTAGAAAGTTAGGTCGAGACTAGGGGTGAGGTCAGATGAGTGGTTTGAAATTTTTATTGTTTAATTTTTAAATTAAATTAATCAGCAATCCACGTGGATAATTACAGGGGAATTGGAAAATAAGCGTTCTCCACGTAAGCACCACCGTTTGTCCAGTCAAACTTAACGTTAACATCGTTAAAAAATGTGACGGAATATACAAGTGTATTAAACCAAAAAATTTCCAAAATACACACATTATAATTTTTTTTTCCAAAATACATATGTTTGGGCATCATTGCGGTCGTCAACCGCAGTGAATGCATTCAACGCGGCAGACGAAAGCGGTGAATGCATCACCGCGGTTGACGGTCGCGGTGAATCCTAACGTACACTGAAACTTCAAACAAATGTAACTTTGCGCTTGGTTATCCGATTGTAGCGATTTTGTTTATTCCACATAACTTTTCAAGATATTTTAATCTAAAACAAGCCTTCATACAAAAAAAAAATCCGCTTGCTACCCCGAACGAGCAATTTTTCGATTTTGACAAACTTTGGAAGACCATAACTTTGTGCTCCGCAATTCGATGTCATTAAACTTTTTTCATTTCGCATAACTTTTGAAGGACTACAATTTTGGAATTTATGTGGATTTGTGAAAAGTAAAGGCAAAGAGTTTCCCAAAATCCCGTATACCCAAAAATATTTCTTTTTAAAAAAAATTCTTTCCTAGTAAAAGTTGTATTCAAAACTTATGCGCAATAAAAAAAAACTTTACGACGTTTGGATTGAGGAGCTAAAAGTTATGGCCTACCAAAGTTTGGCAAAATCGAAAAATTGCTCGTTCGGGGTAACAAACAAAATTATTTTAAGATGAAGGCTTGTTGCAGATGGAAAGATCTTGAAAAGTTATGCGGAATCAAAAAATAAAATCGCTACAATCGGATAACCGAGCGCAAAATTACGTTCATTTGAAGTTTCGGTGTTAGGTCAGGCATTCACCACGGTCGTCAACCGCGGTGATGCATTCACTGTGATTGACAGCCACAGTGATGCCCAAACATGTGTATTTTGGGATTTTTTTATAACGTGTGTATTTTAAGAATTTTTTTTTAAAAACATGTGTATTTTGGGATTTCGTCCAGTTTCTATCAGTGGCTGTAGGAACCAGGAAAAAATGGTCGACGATCTAATAAGTTTGGAACAAACAAACTCTAAATTTCAATCCAATTTGTGTGTCTAGAGGTGACAAATGGATTGATGGTTTGAATTGGTGGATCCATGCATCAAATGAATTGGTGGATTAATGGATTGGATCAAATGGATTAGTGGGTTGGATAATGGATCCAATACGAACATTTTGAAAATTTTAGGTACTGAAATGTCGTAATAAAACTTTTAGGTACCAAGACATAAATTTTCAATGATAGTTTTCACTAAAAATTAAAATTTAGCTATCAAATTGTAAAATATAAAATAGATTTACTAAACTGTAATTTGCCAATAGTACATGAGTTGAATCGAGAAATCCTCTCACTGGACTTGGATAAAATGGATTGTATTGGTGGATTAGATACAAAATTATCACCTTTATGTGTGCCGATTATCCAATATCAATAATCGGCAACGGCCAATCTTATAACACTTGTTGAGATTGGACAATGCACATTAATAATATTGTCAACTTGGGGCCAAAACTGCACATATTTATTCTTAGGTACTGCTTTCCGCCAAGAATACTTGTGTTGAAATCAAATTGTTTTCACCTTAACTTCTTACCAAACGATTACTAAACACAGTTTACACATCTTTAAACTAATTTCAAACAAGGGTGTTTGATGTCTTTTACGATTCACGAGACAAATACTACATTAAACTAACCATACTTAAATGAAGGTTCAGTTAGGTAAAACTGTATATGAATTGCTATTTGTAGCCCTAAGATAATTCAATTACTATTTTATCCTTCCTCCTTTTTAAAATTAAAACTTCTTATAAGACTGCAACCAAACACCCCTTCCCTCTCAATTCAATAGTTGCCGGCTTCGTCCCAAATATTGTCGCCGGCAACAACGACTTCTCGCCGGAGACGACGACCTCTCGCCGGGAGACAACAACCTTTCGCCGGAGAAGAAATCAGAGCGCCTCGCCGGAGAAGAGACTCAGTCGCCGGAGCTAATATTGAATTTCTGTACGAAGGACTGTCGGGACGGTGACGTTCGGCCCATTCGTCGCCGACAATGGACAAACGTCCTGACCAGGCATCACCGGTGATGGAGGAACGTCCAGGCCGGCATCACCTCGGCAGGACGCCAGACGTTCGGCCGTTGCCGGCGACGCCTCGATAGGACGTCACCCTCGCCGGCGGCAGGTCAAACGACCGTTGACCAGCCGTTGGTCGTCGTTCCCGTCCATTTTAATATTAATTTAGGATAATTTTTTTAGAATTTAATTTAGTTTAATTATCTGCTTTAATTATTATGATTTAATGTAGATAAATTATCTACTTTAATTCAATTTTAACAATTACTTTAATTATCTGCTTTAAATAAATCTTAACAATTGCTTTCTTTTTCATTAACTGCTTTTGAGAATTAGATTTTATCGATTTTAGATTATAAAAATTAGATTTTAAATGTATGTTAATATTAATTTAAATTATATTATCGATTTATGATTATGAAAAATACATTTTATTGATTAACATGAAATAGAAATAAAGGAATGTTAAAAATTATTTTGATAAATATGTTAATATTTACGAAAATTATGTCAATAAATATGTTAATGTTTTAATTTAATTGAAATTAGATAGAAAAGGTAAATTTTAATTGATAAATATAAGAAAGTTTAATAATTTAAATATTGAAATTTATTTCATGAAAAGTATTAATTGTAGTACGAACCTTAAATTGCAATTGACAAATTTAAGCAAGAAAATTAAATTAGAATTTATTGTGTAATTCATTAGATTCCGAACATTATATTGTGATGGGAAATTTATTTTAATTGAAATTATATACGAATGTTAAATTATAATAGAGAAATATACGAACCTTGAACATTTGAATATAAAAATTTATTATACGAGAACTAGCAATTATCATATGAACATTGCTAATAACTATTACATGATAATAATAAAATGACAATAATTTTAATTCAAAATTTAATAGGTACAAAATGGTGGATACAAGAGGAAAGAAGAAGATGAAGGAGGTAAAGCCGTCGAGGTTGGCCAACCGTATAGTATTGAGGTGGCGTCGTGAGGAAGCAGAGAATGAGCGTCGACGTGCTAGGCTTGTGGAGAATCCTTCTCCTCCGGCCCCGTGCCTTTTGATTTAGATACAACTTTTGAGGGAGTGGATGAGTATGACGGCAGTGATGACAATTATGATGACTTCCCAGATGTGAATGAGGCTTTCTTCGAGGGCAACCATCTGAGTGCAGGTGGTTCTAGTGAACCTAGATTAGAGCCCGAGGTTCCTTTTGTGTCTTCTTCGTCCTCTCAGTTTGTTCATGTTAGACATGGGCCTCATGGTCGTTTTGAGTCATCACGACCCGATTTGGAGGAGGGCAGCACTAGTAAGAGGAAGAAGGCGAGAGAAGCTGATTCGTGGATTCCTGACAGGAGTGGGCTAGGGGGCCTATCGATCCTAGCTTGATTCCTAGTTTTGTTGGTCATGTGGCTTATCGATTATGGGATGATGGTTTAGGGGCCCGACGAATGGATTCATTCAAGTTGTCGACTAGAGCATTGGTAGTCAATTATTTGAAAGATTACAAATTTCAGAGTGAGGGTGTTGCAGCGTTGGTTGAGAGGACAGGATTGCGCAAGTTGTTGGACTGCTCGATCGATCCAGCACTTGGACAAACCTTTACTTGTGGCGTTTGTGGAGAGGTGGCAGCCAGACACCAACACCTTCCACGTGTCTTTTTGAGAGATGACCATCACACTCCACACATTTATCTTATTAGTGATACTAACTTTGAAATGTTTGTTGTAGATTGAATTCTTCCAATTTGATATAGATTGAGTCTTACATAAGTTTCAACACTTTTGATGACTTGTAATGTTTGTTGTAAATTGAATTCTTACAATTTGATATGAATTGAGTTTTATGTAAGTTTTAGAAAGTTTGATGACTTGTTTGCAACATTAGATTTTATATTTATCTTCTTATTAAAAAAATATTAAACACGTTATTACCAATTATTCAATATTCGAACATAAACTTCTAATTCAATAGCTTTTCTACAACAAATTAACACATTGAACATGATTAACTACCAAATCCTAATATTTCAACATGCAATAACAAAGTTTTTCACAAGTCGACACATACTAATTAAATTATCAACAACACAACACAATCAATAATTCAACATTTTTTGAACAATAAGTATCATTGTAAAACAAATATTTAAGCATATCATCAATTACTAGACTTCATCATAACAATAACTATTTCAACATGATTGTAAAATTAAAAAGTTTAACTCACTAACCGTGTTACTCATGGTCTGATGTAGTGATATTCAGAAGTCCGAACTTGACAAACTTCAAGAAATACATATAAGAAAATTATTGTTAGTAACATTAACTTAGTTTCAAAATATCAAAAAACTAAATTCAAGAACTTCATTCTAAAAATAATATTATAGCAAATTCATCCTAAAAAATATGATAATTACAATATTCATAAAATAATAAATTACAATAAAATCGCTAAATATTCTTAAAAGTCTAAATTAATGTCAGTAAACATTAACTTAGATTCAAAATATCAAAAAATGAAATTAAAGAACTTCATTCTACAAATTATATTATAACAAATTCAACTAAAAATATGGTAATTACATATTCGTAAAATAATAATTACAATAAAATCACTAAATATCCTTAAAAGTCTAAATTATTGTCAGTAAACATTAACTTAGTTTCAAAATATGAAAAAATAAAATTAATGAACTTCATTTTAAAAATAATATTATAACGAATCCATCTATATAACATGATAATTACAATATTCATAGAATGATGAATTACAATAAAATCACTAAATATTATTAAAAATCTAAATTGTTCATCAATCTATTATAAAAAAAATCTAAACTAATAATCAAAATATCTAAATTAATATCTATTTTATAAATGTAATATTCTTCAAAAATCTAAATTAATAGGAAATTAAAGGAAACCCGGCGATGTCCGACCTAGCCGTCTGTCC